GGTTACATGTGTCATAGTACACATGTGGAGGTCAGAGGACCACTTGCAGGAGTCAGTTCTCTCCACCACATGGGTCCCAGGGATGGAATTCAGGTAGTCAGGCTTCACAGCCAGTGCCCTGATCCACGGAGCCATCTCCTTGGCCCAAACTGTGATACATATATATACACACACACACACACACACACACATATGGGTTTTTTTTTTTCACTTACCATTTTACCTCACATATACTACATTATGTACCCTTTTGTATTTTTAAATTTTTATTTGTATTTATCATTTTTTTAAATATATTTTTTCCTCTTTGGGGGCAGGAAAGAGATAGGTTCCCAAGATAACAACTCACTGGGTAACCTAAGCTGCCGTCAAATTCATGATCTTACTGCCTTGGCCTCCTTCTCATTTTTTAAGCATAAATGGTGCCTGGAAATAAGACTGAATGGTAAAGTACTGGCCTGTGAGTTAAGTTACCTGTGAGTCCCTGTCTCTAATCTCCAGGACCACAAAAAAAGAAGAAAGAATGAATTGACTCGATTTTGATTTCTCATTCAACTGAATATGTTGGAGCTCTTTTTGTGTCAGCAGACAGAGGTCTGCTGTATCCTTAGCATCTATCCGTTCAGGGTCCCATTAGGGGTTTGTATCAAATGCTCTCTCTGGAGATGAGTGTGTGGTGTTTGTTCTTCAACACCAACCCTGACTTGTGTGTGTTGAGCTGGGCTTATGTTCTTCCAGAAGATCGTCCAGAGAGCCTTTTCCTCCCGTGGCTTTGCGCAGTCACCCCTTCTGGTTCTCCCCCAGCGTCACTAGTCCCGGGTTCCCGCCAGCAGTCCTCCTCGGAACACTCGAGTGCTCCAGGGCCCCAGCGTCACTAGTCCCAGGTTCCCACCTGCAGTCCTCCTCGGAACACTCAGTGCTCCAGGGCTTTCTGCTCACTGGCACTCCTGCCTGGGCAAGCTCATCGTTTCAGTGCTGTAGGTTGTTTGGACATGCGGGTGACTCCAGTCCCCCTTGTACCCGGCTCCTTCACTCTGCACTGACCCCCAGCTACCTACTAAGTAGTGTACCTGGATGTCTAGTGGACATCTCATATCAGAGACTCGGACTGAACTCCTGACTCTGTCCCATGCCTGGTGTTTTCAGTCTTTATCACCAAGTGGCAGCATCAGTCTACTTTCCCTGGTAGACAGGAAACAAATTAAAAGCAATCACTCTTAACTTCCCTTTCTTACAGCTTTAAAGCATAGATTCAGCAGTCCTGTCTTCAAAATATTTTTAGAACCCAGGATAGTCATGCCGACTCACACATTTAATCCTGGTATTCAAGAGGCAGAGGCAGGAGGATTGCCATAAGTTTGAGTCCAGCCTGGTTTCTTCATAGCAGCCTCCAGGCCATTCTGGGCCGTATGATGAGATCTTATCTTTTAAGAGCAACATGGTGCGATAGATCAGCAAGTAAAGTCACATGTCACCCAGGCCTGAGAGCTTTAGTTCAGTCCTCGGAACCCGTGTGAAGGCAGAAGGAGAGAACTGGCTCCACCAAGCTGCCCTGACTTCCTCATGCACACCACAATGCACATGCATCTGCACACATCATATAGACACATTCAAGATTTCTAATGGCCCAGATCCGGGTGCAGGGGTGCACGCCTTTAATTCCAGCAGTCTGGAAGTGGAAGCAGGCCAGTCTGTGTGTTCCAGACCAGACAATGCTCCATTGTGAAGCTTGTCTCAGAGGGGGTGGGGAGGGCTAGAGACGGCACTCACGTAGTGGAGTGCTCACTCAGCATCCCAGAGGCCTGGATTTATCCCCAGCACTGCACAGACTGAATGTGGTAGGACATACCTATAATCCCAGCATTCAGGAAGAAGAGCCAGAATGATCAGATGTTCAAGGCCATCCTCTGCTCCACAGAGAGTTTGAGGCCATGCATGAGACCCTGTCTTTTTTATTTTTTTATTAAAAAGTCAGGGGGAAATAATTCAGAATCTAACCGCTTCTCACGTTTTGTTACTCCTGCCCTGACCCATACAGTCTTGTCTTTTCTGGATCTTCACAGTTGCCTCTCCAGTGAGCCATCTCTGTCTTACCCACCCTCAAACCATAAGGGATATTAGTGAATTAGTTCCTTACAGAAACTGAGGAAGTAGGAGAGGCGATATGGAGTAGAGAATGAATGAACATGAAATAGGAAGAGGAGTTGGGAATGTCAGCACCAGGAAATTACATGTGACCAAATAATCTGAATATTATATATGGTGGGGCTGGACAGATGGCTCGGTGGTTAGAGCACTGGCTGCTCTTCCAGAGGTCCTGAGTTCAGTTCCCAGCAACCATGTGGTGGCTCCCAACCATCTGTAATGTGATCTGATGCCCCCTTCTGGTATAAGAAGCATACATAAAATAAATAAATCTTTAAAAAAATTATATATGGGAATGTACATGGGATAAGTAAATACATGTGAGACCTGACCTGAGCAGTAATGTAACAAGCTGAAAAATGTAAAGAGAAACTTAAGAAAGTTCAATTTATGAATTTACTTGGCATGTGCAGTGAAAAATGTGTGCTATCAAAATTTAATCTCCAAATGTTTTCTCTGGATTTCTAGGCGTTTGCAGATATGCTGAAAGTGAACCGAACTTTGAAGAGTTTAAATATGGAGTCCAACTTCATCACAGGCACTGGGGTTTTGGCACTGATTGATGCTTTGAGAGACAATGAGACCCTGACAGAGCTCAAGATTGACAATCAGGTTGGTGCTCTACAGTAAGAATTCCAAGGAAACTGCGGCCCCCACTGCCAGGAGGGCTCTCTGTAGGGTTTTGTTTGTTTGGTTTTTGAAGACAGGGTTTCTTTGTGTATCCCTGGCTGTCCTAGAACTCACTATATAGACCAGGCTGGCCTAGAACTCACTGAGATCTCTATGCCTCTGCCTCTGCCTTTTCCTCCCAAGTGCTGGGATTAAAAGTGTGCTCCACCATCAGCCTAAGTTTTTTAACGTCTAAGTTTTTTATGAACATACATGTTTATTTCTTGGGGCTTACACCTACGAGTAGAACTACTGGATGGTAAGATAATTCTGCTTTCTGAGCAATTACCAAGGGCCCACTTTGCCACATTCTTGACAGTCACTTAAACAAACGGAAGGGTCACATTGTATTGCCCAGACTGTTCTTGGTCTAGGATCAAGCATTTCTCCCCCCTCAGCCTGCCCAGCACCTGGGACTGGAGGTGCCCACTACCATGTCTTCTGCTTGTTCATCTTGTTTGGTTGTTGTTGGTTTGGGTTTGTTGGGGCCAAGACTGAGACAGTCTCATGTAGGCCAGGCTATCTTCTCTGTGTGAGAAGATGACCTTAAACGTGTACTGTCAGCTCCCAGTACTGGGGTCACGAATGTGCACCTGGTGGAGTGTGCACCTCCGTACCCGGTGGAGTGTGCACCTCCGTACCCGGTGGAGTGTGCACCTCCATACCCAGTGGAGTGTACACCTCCGTACCCGGTGGAGTGTGCACCTCCGTACCTGGTGGAGTGTGCAGTGCTGGGAACTGAAGCCAGAGCTTCATGGATGCAAGACCAGCACCAGCTGAGCTAGTTCCTCAGCCTTTTGTCTCTTTCATCAGTATGAGGTGGCACTCAGGGTATCCACACTGCTTTTCATTTCTATATAAGCTTTTGGTGTCTGTTGAACTTTTAAAAATGTTTTTCTTACGTATGTTGTAGAAATTGGGAAAACGTAAGAGACCAACAAACTAAGCATGGGACTGAGTCTTAAATTTTTTTTACCTAAAAATGTTTTGATCAGGTTTATTCTTTGTTTCTGATCCTTCCAGAGACAGCAGTTGGGCACAGCTGTAGAATTAGAAATGGCCAAGATGCTTGAAGAAAATACGAATATCCTTAAATTTGGGTATCAGTTCACGCAGCAAGGACCCCGAACCAGGGCAGCCAATGCTATAACGAAAAACAACGACTTAGGTAAGATGTATGCAATGCTCAGTCAAGTCTCCAAATACAACACCAAGCTATTTTTAGAAATAAATTGTAACATGGAAAAATAGCCTGTCCTTGGTGTCCAGTGCTGCTTGGGCCTTTATACAGCGAGTCAGAGCTGTGCCAGGCTGTAGTGGTCTTCCTGTCGATGGCGAACTACATCTGTGACAAGCACATGCTAGCTTTATGTGATGCTTTCCAGGACAGATGCTTTGTTCTTGGTTACCACTTCCTCCTTGTGCTTTGAAACAGAGTCCAACACCACCAGAGAGCATTCTGCCTGTTTACCAAGCAGATCCAGACAGGAATTCAGTTTTATATTATGAAATATCGAGGAAGTATAGTTTAACTCCCTAGCCTCTCTGTGTGCAGTGCCCTCCTCCTGCACTCACCTGCCTCAGTGATCCCATTCTCTTGTGGTCCCTAATTGAAATGAACTCTCTAGTCCTGGATGAGTTAATAAATACTGTGCTTGTAATTTTGTTTCTCTGTGTTTCCAGAAAGTGACTCTCTTTTTAAGTTATGCAATTTACCACTGAAATGTTTGACAAGATTCATTGTAGGCAAGAAGTAAAAATAAGTCTTCTCAACAGGGGTGGCGTTTCTGAGCAGTGTAGTTCTTTTAAGTTTCAGCCAGATTTGCATTTATGTTGCTGTAGTTTCATTCCTTTAATCTAGTTATGTTGTAGAATATTATTTAAGGTGTGTTACTTTTGATTATGCTACATTTCTTTAACTCTGTGAAGCTGTGTTACCGTGCCTGTCTAAAACACCTGATGGTCTAATAAAGAGCTGAACGACCAATAGAGAGGCAGGAAAAAGGATAGGCGGCATTGGCAGGCAGAGAGAATTAATAGAAGAAGAAATCTGGGAGAAGGAATGAGAAAGGAAGGAGGATTTCAGGGGCCAGCCACCCAGCTACACAGCCAGACACGGAGTAAGAAGGAAAGAAAAGTTATACAGGAATTAAAGATAAAAGCCCAGAGGCAAAAGGTAGAAGGGATAATTTAAAGGTAAGTGAAGCTAACTAGAAACAAGCCAAGCTAAGGCCAAGCTTTTATAATTGAGAATAAGCCTCTGTGTGTGAGTTATTTGGGAGCTGGGTGGTGGGCCCCCCAAAAGAGCAAAAACAAACCACAACAAGTGGCAATAAGGAGATCCCTGGAGGGGGCACTGCATGTATAGAGGGTTGGATGTGAGAGCAAGCTCTACAATAAACTCTCCTTGCATACTTGTTTGAATAAATACAGATTTTTAAAGTGGTATCACTGGCAGGGAAGAGGGGATTGATAGGGATGGGAGAGAGACAAGGTGGGGTGAGAATAACCGGAATGCATCGTATTCGTGTATGAGCATGAAGTGAGGTCAACATTAGGAAGATGGGTGGGGAAAACGTAGCAGAGGTTAATAGAAGGAGCTAAAACTACACGACAAAGAACTTAGTTGTTTGCTTTTTATGTTTTATGTTGGAGACATTTGGGAGCTAGTATAGGCTATATGATGATCACAATACTTTAAAAGAAAAAAATAACATGATTATTTTGTAGACTGGAACTGAGGTTAGTTAAGACTTACCAACAATGGCTACCAGTGAAGGATCAAGAATTTTTACTCTCATGAAGTAGGTTTTGGGAACAAAGATTGGACACCAGATGACAAAGAATAATCAAGACTGGCCTCTGCCCTTTGCCCTCTGCCCTGCTGTCCACACAGCAGCTGCCTCAGATCTGCTCACAGCTTCATTCTCTTCCAGTGCACTGTGGTCTCTGCCCATAGACTTGGCAGAGAGCCTGGGAACCGCGCTTCCTAACCCAGCGGTCCCAGCGGCCTGACCTGACAGTCTCCTGAAATAACTCTCCTTCAGCTTGCCAGTGGGGCTCTATCAGACCTTGTCCTCATCTTTATAATATCTTCTCGTTATCTTCTTACTCTCAGCTGTCCATTGAAATACTTCTGCCTACTCGCCATCTCTCCAGCTAAGAAGTGTCCCAGCTCTAACAGAAAAGAGGTTGTATGGTACACATACAGTAGTCCCTTCTACACTGAGCTGCTCATCTGTACACTAGCTAACTGCATAATCGGCTTCTGTGGAGTTTTGTTTGCTGTGCTCTGTCCTGTAGATCCTGTCTGTAATGCCTTTAACATTGTTTTAGCATGCATTTTAACATCCGAAATGGTTTGCCAAAACCAGTCCAACCTGCCCTAAGACTTGCCTGGTGTTTTCCTTTTCAGTGTCTATTTGTATTTGTATTTCTTTCTGGTCGCCTTGACTTTTTTCTCCCTCAGTTTTTCAGTAGACACTTGAAACTTGTTCCTCATTACTATAGGCTAGACCAGAGTCAGGAAAAGGTGCGTAGGTAAGTATAGTTTGTGGAGACTGTAGCTTTTGCTTGTATTTTTTCAACTCCACTCAGCCAGTGACTGGACAGTCCACCTGTACACCAGCAGCCAGCAGTCAGAATAGCATGGGAGCGGCCATTACTGTGGCTGGGCAAGAGCCAGCACACTCTTGACTAGCTCCTCTGACAGCCAGCTCAGGCTAGAAAGAGGCAGTGCCGCGTGACCGGCTTCTAGAGGGAACGCGGGACTCAGCAGTCAGAGTCTGAGCGCAAAGCAGCAAACTGTAGTACAGGAGTGCAGCTCCTCCTGGTGGCCAGGTTGCCTTTTCCTCACTAGGAACATGGCTGACCTCAGGGCTGGCGTGTAGCCTCACAGCGGCGGATGGAGAGGAGTCCTCTCTACTAAACACTGTGTTCTCTGCACTGCTCTGTGCAGCACCTTGTCACTGAGAGCTGTGGGAATTAGATACCGTTCTAGTTCTCCTGCCAGCGAGGAAAGCTCCGAGAGGCTGACTGCCACAGCACACACCCAGAACAGTGACAGAGCTGTGGTTCTGTTCCCTTACTGACTCTTTGAAGAGTGGTCGGCCATAGTGTTGAATACTGACGTGGTGACTCTTGCTAAAAGCCCTTGGTGACTGATAGTCAAAAGAGCAAGATAGCCGAAGAGCTTACTTGCTACTGGCAAGCTCAGCAATGGCTTCATGTCACCAGTCCATGAAAAGGCCGAGCATCGTCAGGCATCTGCATCTTGTTTGTTCCATCATCGGGACTAGTTGGTCAGCCACTTTCTGGAGCCAACGTTTATAGGACCCAGATGGAAAATTTGTAAAGAGAAGGGAGATTTGAAAAACAGTTCGAAGTCAGTTATTAGAAATGATGAAAGTATTTTTATAGATTCCTTCGATGTAAGGAAATATGGTGTATCTAACCAGGGGAACATGCAAATACTTTTAATAAAACTTTTTAAATTTTATTTTGTGCATTGGTGTTTTGCCTGCATGTATGTCTTTGTACCATGTGTGTGCCTAGAGGCCAGAAGTAGATGTCAGATCCTCTGGAACTAGAGTTACAGACAGTTGTGAACTGCCATGTGGGTGCTGGGAATCGAACCTAGGTCCTCTGGGAGAGCGTTGAGCCATTTCTTCAGCCCCCTACTATAACTTCTTAGGCACAGCTTGCTGATGTCATTGTAAACGTTATTGTATTAACCAATCATTTCTCTAAACTTAGGCATACTTTTTGTCTGTAAGCAAATGACTTGAAAAGTGAGTGCTGAACATGCACTGAACACTGTGCTTTGGGTTTCTACCCGGCTATATGGAAGCACCTATATCATAAGGTACATAGCTCTTGTTTAGAAGTCTCATCAAGTTTAGAAGTTTCATCAAGTAATGACAGTGGCAGGTGACTGAGCCTTCTTTATTAGTGGTCATATGAATCAGAAGTACTCAGTTCACTTTTATGAGATGTTAACTGCATTATACAGAAACTTGTTACAAGCAAGTTAACAATTTATAAACCAATAGGGATTCATAACCGGCTTTTTTTCCCCACAGTGCGCAAGAGGCGAGTGGAAGGAGACCACCAGTAAGAGTGCCACGGTAACCTTTGGAAGCCTGCAGATCACCAGAGGCTCCTGTTGGTGACAGCAGATGTAAAAATGTCCTGGGTAGAAGGGAAAAGACTGGAAATCTTTTTTTAGCCATATGCATTATTTTCCTAGCTTAAAGTATTATGTTTGATTTGTAAAATCAGTAATTAGTATTTTATACTTGTAGCCTTTCTACTGAAATCATTTTAATTTAGCTTAATTGAATGGTTTATAATTTTTAGATAAAAGTGCAGTTATAGAAAGTTTCAGAAGTCATATATGTAAGGATAATTTGAACACCTTGAGGACCAATCTTTTTTAAATCAAAAAGGGACATTGCTGACCGACCCACTGCTAATGTTGCTTCTTGTACATAAAGGATAGGACATGGCGGTTTCCTTTTTTAAAAATCCATGAATTTGGGGCCAGGCGGTGGTGGTGCACACCTTTAATCCCAGCACTCAGGAGGCAGAGCTAGGCGGATCTCTGTGAGTTTGAGGCCAGCCTGGGCTACAGAGTGAGATCCAGGTCAGGCACCAAAACTACAGAGAAACCTTGTCTCGAAAAACAAAACAAAACAAAACAAAATCCATGAATTTGGCAAGAGTTTGCTTTTTCCTTATTAGGGAAATAAAATTTCAGAATTTTAAAAGATGACTCAGAATCTGATATATCTACATAATCCAAAGCAGGCCTCCAGGAGATGACCGGTCCTCTTCTGGGGGACAGAACAGCCCCCTGCGTTGCAGGTTTCTATACTTGTTCAAGGGACCTCAGCTACACTGGGGTTGGTTTTTTGTTTTTTTTGTGTGTTTGTTTGTTTGTTAATAGTCCTTAATTCTGCCCCACTGCCTACCTTGTTTGAAAGTATAGTTATAGCTAAGGTTACTACAGTATTTCATCTTGCTGTGGGCATTAAATTTTTGTAAAAGCTAGTGGTTAAAAAAGCATCCAAGTAGAGAGGTCATTTCCTTCTCCATAAAAGGCTCTTGGCCAATACTCAGTTAGAGTAAAAGAAAAAAAAGAAAGGTGCTTTAGATACAGGAGGGAATCCAAGCCCAAAAGCTCACAGGATGGCAATTAAGTTAATGAGCACTGTCAGTCAGAAACTAAAACGTGAGCTGGCTCTGATGGCTCGCTCCTAGAATCCTAGCCCCTGGGAAGCTGAGAAAGGAATGTTTCCAGATGTTCAAAGCCAGGCTGGACTACATAGGAAATTCCAGGTTAGCCTGTGAATGTGAGAACCTGTGTCAAGAAAAGAAAGATCTGTACCGTGTGGTAAGACACTAGACCCTTCCTGTGTGACTGCACAGGTGCAATGCAGCATTTCATGAACAGTTAACCCCCACTCCACAGTGGACCAGCCACACAAAAACTGCTACTTTCAGAAACCCAGCCTTAGTAGGTGCTGCCTTTCTTCTTGTACTTTTAAAAAGCCATATGGTAAAGAAAGAGAGAGAAAAAAGTTGTATAGCGTAGGTTATCTTTCTCACCCAGGCGTTAGAGTGAGGACTTGAGCAGCATACCTCAGAGTGGGGTTGGGCGAGGCTGCACACTGACGCCCTTCTGAGGATTTGGGTTTGTGTCTGTGCCCTGTCCCGGGGCAGCTCCTACAGGAGTAGCAGAGGCAATCACAGCCACAGACAACAGAGAGGAACAGGTCCAGGGAAGTATGAACAAGTTGACTTGTTTATACATTCCACTTCTGTTCCGTAATGCATTGTGTATCTGAAGAAAATACTTCTTTATAAGTAACTTAAGTGTGGACTCATCTGATGGAATAGGGAGGCAGAAGCAGGTGGATCTCTGAGTTTCAGGACTGCTATTACACAGAGGAATTCTGTCTTGAAAAATAAACAAAAAAAAGAATTATAATGGAGAACAGTGTTTACCTTCATCTTTAAAAGTGTGGCACCTCTTGACTTTTTAGTAACTCAGTATTTTCAAATTCCTCTGAGACTTTTATGACATAGTAATAAATTAGGACTTTGCAACAGTTTTCATTTTAAGCCAGAGATTTTCTAAACCCTCGGGTTTTATGTCAGGTTAAATGGTTTATTCTTAGATAAAAATAACATTCACATTTTTAAATTGCTCTTTTAAAAAGCTTTAAATTGCCCATTTTATAAAACTGTGTATTCATATTTGTCTTGTTATAATTTTCAGTATGTCCACATGAAATTGTATACGTTAAATTCAATGTTAGTGGCTAATATTAATACCTTGAAAGTAGATTTTGGTGCTATACATTTATAGCTAAAACCTACTGGAGTTTAAAGAATAAGTAAAATACATTTTCTAAAGGTGCCTGTCATTTCAAAGACCAAATAAACATTTTGTGTTAAAAGTATTAGCAGACTGTTGGTGATTTTGAGGAGAGTGTCCGTGACCATTAAGTTGTACATTATCCACTAATCAAATTAGCCACACACTTTATACAAGGGGGCACTCCTGAAAAGTTATGTAAAAGATATGTAAATAGAACTTTAAAATTTGTTTTCCAACCGATAATCCCTTCATGTGTTTTCCTTTAAAGGCGATATAATAAAATTATAACAGAAAAATGTCTCAATAAAGTATTAGTTGTATGCTACATCATGTTTAACCCTTATTGCCACTAAAATAAGTTATTAGGCTTCATAAAACCTCTGGTTCCCAGGGCTGTCCCACTTTTCCTGTCTAAAGTCAGGAACCACTGTTACCACTGTTAGCCAGCAGATGAAGCATAGCTCTGCTGGAGTCACAGCCACCGGCACCCTGGAGCCCCGCCGTGTCTGGCTGGACTCTGCCAGGGCTGCTTCGCTTTGAACAGCAGCGACTAAAGACATGGCAGCCAAGAGAAATGAGCCTGTGGGCATTTGAGAGACTACTCCTGCTGCTGTTGCCAGGCACAGGTGTGAGTTCTGGGATCTGAACATCTGTCTGCAGAACTGTCTCCTCCATCAGTTCTCACAGATGACCATGCTTTCTAGATAGTTCTCACCCTTAACACTTGCCGTTAAATTGAGAAAGTCCTTCCACAGGTAAGGATTTTATGTCATGTTGACTTTTCTGCACTATAATTTGGTTCCATGAGTCCTTCCTTATAAAAATTAAACAGGGGCTGGAGAGATGGCTCAGTCATTAAGAGCATTGGCTGCTCTTCCAGAGGTCCCAGGTTCAGTTCCATATCAGGCAGCTCACAATCTCCTGTAACTCCAGTTCAGATACGATGCCCTCTTTTGGCGTCTGTGGGCACCTGCACACATGTGGTACACATGTAGACAAGCAGGCACACACACATACACAGAAAATAACAAAAACAACATGCAGACTTTACAGTAAACATAACATTTTGCAGGGAGCCGGGACAGTTGCCATTACAAAATGGCGCCCACTTCCTTGCATCCTGGAGATAAACAACTTCTTATAAGACAATGCTTCGATGAAATACACGCCTTGGCTTTGCGCATGCGCAAGCTATATAATGGTCCCTAGCCAATCCTGTGGCGCCTGGTGGTGGCAAGCTAATGTCAGCCAGTCCAGAAGCGACCCATGCCCCTAATCCCTATATAAGCAGCTGCTTTTTAGTGCTTGGGGCCCCTTGCTTCCAGCTCTCCCTTAATCAAAAGGCTCTCCAATAAAGTGTAATTTGAGAAGAGTCCTTGAGTGGTGGTCGTTCTTCCTCGCTGGCCGAGGAGATCGCCGCAACATTTCATTTTAAATAAGTAAATTTAAAGATTTAGGGCTGGAGAGATGGCTCAGAGGTTAAGAGCACCGACTGCTCTTCCAGAGGTCCTGAGTTCAATTCCCAGTAACCACATGGTGGATCACAACCATCTGTAATGAGATCTGGCGCCCTCTTCTGTATACATAATAAATAAATAAATCAAAAAAAATTTAAAGATTTATTGATTATGTATACAGTGTTCTGCTTGCACATATCCCTGCAGGCCAGAAGAAGGCACCAGATCTCATTATAGATGGTTGTGAGCCACCATGTGGTTGCTGGGAATTGAACTCAGAACCTTTGGAAGAGCAGCCAGTGCTCTTAACCACAGAGCCACCTCTCCGGCCCCACATTTCATTAATTTTAAACTTCACTTTTCAGTCTTGTAATTTAGAAGGGCCAACCTTAGAGGTAAGGTAGGAAAAAGATACTTCTCAGTAAATTGTTTTAACCATTGCCACATATTTTTTTGTTTTTGCTTTGTCATGTATTTTAGAAAGCCTTAGTTAAAGAGCAAAGGATTGGACCTGAGGTATCTGTTTTAAAGGCCAGGTGAAAGTAGCCTATAACACTACAATACCACTTGCTCTGTTTTTTTTTTTTTTTTTTGTTTGGTTTTGGTTTTGGTTTCTTGAGACAGGGTTTCTCTGTGTAGCTTTTCACCTTTCCTGGATCTCACTCTGTAGCCCAGGCTGGCCTTGAACTCAAAGAGATCCGCCTTCCTCTGCCTCCCAAGTGCTGATTAAAGGCATGCACCACCACCGCCCAGCTGCTCTGTTTTGTTAACTGATGCAAGTTCACACCTTTAGGGTAACCCCTCACCCTTAAAGATTTCACTCCTTTTTCTACATTGTCAGTGTTTTGGTACAGAGCAAATCCCATAAAAATCTTTCAGATGCTGTAGTTTCTATATTCAGATAGGTTTGAGAAGGTGTGCGCATGCGCACGCTCATGTGGACACATGCCAGGCACACGTGGAGGTTAAGGGACAACTCTGACGTTGCTTCTCTCCTTCCACCTTTACATGGCTCCCGGAGATCAAAACAAGCGCCTTGACGTCCATATCAGCTCACTGGCCCCACTTTTTTTAAGCTGGATTTTTATATTACAACCCATAATCCAGAGGGCTCAATTACCATTTTCACAAGAGCACCAAGGACACGGTTTCTAAGAGTCTGCTTCCTTTCTCCTTGCTCTCGTTCAGTAGCTGACTATGTATACTCCCAACTGAATAAACAAAATGAAAAGAACTGCCAATGCAGAGTTCTTACACAATTCCTAATAATCAGATGTCTCTACTTCAGTTATTAATACAGAAGCCAGGTGGGTCTCTGTGAGATCAAGGCCAGCCTGGTCTACAAATAGAGTTCCAGGACAGGCTCCAAAAAAAGGTACACAGAGAAACCCTGTCTTGGGGGGGGCGGGGCACATAGTTGAGGCCATGTTGGGTCGAGGCCGCTAGTTGTGTGGGCTGAACCACTCTGTGCACTTACAGAATGACTGAGTTGTCCGAAGATCTCCAGCCCCCGACGCCAGTGCCGTAGTCAGAGCCAGCCTGGCTTCCTGCTGAAGGCCTCCAGCCTGCACTCTCTAGTGTGTGCTGCTAGCCTTTGCGTCTGCAGCACTGATGGCCCCTGCCCTCTGAATGAGGCAGAGGGTGGCATGCATTTTGTTCACCTTCTGGATCTGTTCAGCATACTCACTGTCTTTTTTGGTGTTCCACAAATAAGATCCATGCTTGAGTTTACTTCCTGTAGTAGACATCTATCTTAGGGTTTCTAGGTCATGATGAGACACCATGACCACAGCAACTCCTATAAAGGAAAACATTTAATTGGGGGCTGGCTTACAGTTCAGAGGTTTAGTCCATTATCGTGGAGGGGAGCATGGTGGCATGCGGACAGATGTGATCTGGAGAAGAGGCTGAGAGTTCTATATTTGCATCTGCAGGCAGCAGGAAGAGAGAGACACTGGGCCTGGCTTGAGCTTCTGAAACCTCAGAGCCCACCCCCCAGTGACACACTTCCTTAACAAGGCCACACCTAATAGTGCCACTCCCTGGTGACCAAGCATTCAAATCTATGAGCTTATGGGGGCCATTGCTCTTCAAACCACCACATCATCCAACAGCTGTATCCACCTCAGAGAACACAGCTCCCCTGCCACCAAAGTCAAGTTGAGCCCGTTACAGCCCAGAGACCTGTCTTCTGTCCTCAGCACACGTTCAGCTCCTGACTCCTCTTGGCATTGGTCAACAGAATTGTTCTGGTATGAGGCAGAGCATCTCCACCTGCCAAGATCCTGGTTTCTCCAGATTGGATTCGTTTGGGGGAAAACTGTAGCCCTCAGATCCGCCTCCTCCAGTGATCAAAGGTGGCATAGCAAACCGAGGTCGCTGAGAACAGAACCGTGTGTTATTGTGGATCTTTATGTCTGTGCCTGGCTTCGCACCATGGGACCCTTTTGTGTATTGCTTTGACACCCCCACTTCCCCAGTTATCCAGCAGTGTGCCTTTTTAAAGGGCCCAGTAGTGAGGTTCACATGTAGCCTTTCACTTGTCACATGGGGACACTGCAGCCTTGTGCTCTTGAGGGTGCACCATTCCAGGCACCACGGCCTTGTAGGCAGAGACTGAAACATCGGTAGTTTCTCTTTCCCCTCAGCAGGAGTCATTGGTTTCCTTCTCTTGTGGCTAGTAAATACTCTTCCTAATGCAGTGTGAAATTTCAAGTTCTGAAGGCTGGAAAGCCAAGGCCTGGATGCCGGCAGATTGAGATCTGGTTTGCAAATGGCCTCCTCACTGAATGTCATGCAGCCGAACAAGCAGCAGCAAGTTCCCTCTAGGTGTTTCTCCGTTGGTATCTGTTCTGGTGGAAGCTCCACCTCAGCCCCTGGCACCCACATACCCAAAGAGTCTGGAATGTTCTGGTGGAAGCTCCACCTCAACTCCCCTCCCTCATCTCTCTCTCCCCAAACCTGTCCCCTCAAAGCCCACCAAAAGTCAGCCCCTTTCTGGGGCTGCTCAAGACCGTGCCCACAGGTTACTTACGGCCTGGTAGCCATATTTGCCATGTGACTCTTCCCCTGCCTTTCCAAGGGTCACCCAGGATTGCTTTGCTCTGTTCATTAAACCTGGGTTTATTAATTCAGCTTGATTGGCTTATTACATTGATACAACTGGAGATTCAAAACCTATTAGTATATGTAGCAATTTTTAACTGTTTATTTCATCTCTGCTTTAAAAAAAAAAAAAAAGATGATGGTTTGTTTTCGGTTTTGTTTAGTTTTTGGTTAAGGTTCTCACTATGTTACCTAGGCTGGCCTCCAACTCAGTGAGCTTGAAGAGGTCTAACCTAACAATACTGGGACTAGGCCTCACCATTACAATAACCAGGAAAAGCCACAAACTGTACCCTGCGGGGGACCAACCAGAATGGAGACAGACAAGTACTAGATGCTCTAGAACTTGAAAGATAGCTTACATCACTTGTATATAGGTTGCCAGTTTCCTTGCAGCAACAGCAGTACCGGTCCCTGTTTGACAAGACTTCTGTTACCTCACTCCTGCCCAATCAGGAGTTCAGGCCCCATCCGAATCCGGAATTCTCCTACCCCGGAATCCTTTACTCCTTAAAAACCCTGCCATAACTGAGCTCAATGCTCTCCCTGATCCAACCGCTGTGTCTGAACAGACAGGAAGCCCAGCTCAATCTTGCAATAAAGGCTCTTTGATTTTGCATACGAACTCGGACTCCTGGTGGTCTCTGGGCGCTCATGGTGCAGGGATAACAAGGCCTGCCTCAGCCTCCTGAGTAGCTGCAACCGCAGACCTGCATCACTTTGCCCAGCTGAGCAATACATTTATTCAGTAGTCTGGAGATTTTAGATTTGTATGCCTAGGAATTGCTGCTTACAACGTGTTTCCCTGGCTGGGGTGGAATGCCAACACAGCCTGAGGCAGGAGAGTCCCGGTCCAAGGTCACCCATTGCCTTGTGTGCTAACGAACCTAAAGCCATAAGCTCTTTAAAAAGAAAGCTTCCTGATTCCCCAGCTACTCTTTCCTGTCTGTTAGGAACTCCATCTTTGTATCCTCCCCAAATCCTTGTGCTGAAGATGGGCCTTTGGAAGGCAGAGGGAGAAAAAGTATGCACCAATGTAAAGCCCCTGTGAATTCACGTACCCGCTTTATTTCCGGTTCAGTCTTGTGGATGAATTACATTTGGTTTGGTTTTGCTTGAAGCCTGAATAGACCTTTATGGCAGCGCATGTTTTTCTGTCCTTTGAAGCTGGGTATTACATAAAGTTTTTCTAATACTAACAAAGCAAAACACTAAGTGCTTTGTAAGTAGAAAAGCAATGAATCTTCTGACATTTAAATCACAAGTTTATTATCCACCCAGTTTATAACAAAGAAAAGTTTCTTTTGAAGACTATAGGCATTTAAAACATACTGTATACCAAAACAAATTAACTATTAAAGTTCATCAAATATCCTATATTCAGACTTTTTTTAATCTCTTCAGTTTTAGAATTCTAACATTCATCACATCTTCCTTCAGGAACCGGCTTATTGTGGTGTGGGGAGGGGCGTGAATGAGAACCAAGTATAACAGCACATGCGTATGAGGCAGTCGCTGTGACGCCCACTGCTTTGTATGCTCGTCTGATTTATTAATAAACCTTTTTAAGAGATCAAGCTTACTAATTCCCAAGCTAGTCTTTCCTGCCTATTACAGACTCAATATGTTTATCCTCCCCAAATTCCTATACTGAAGTCCTAACACGCAGTGGTGGTGGGACTTGGAGATGGGCCTTTGGAAGGCAATCAGGGGTATGTATGTTAGGTCCCCAGAGTGGGACTCTCATCCTGAACTAGTGGCCATCTGAGAGGAGACATGGTTTCTGCATGGCCCATCTCATTCATTGGTTCATGTGGGTCAAAACAATCATTCTTGCTTTAATATATCCAATGGGCTTGGGCTGTCCCTAAGCAGTAAAATGCATGTTCAGCAGACAGGAAGCCCTAGATTCAATCCCAGCACAAACAGGAAACTGAGGACTTAAATAGGATAGACACCAGTGCACAATTCATTTCACACTTCATTCTTCCTCTTCAACCCTTGGTCTCTTTCTGGAGGGTTCATCTCCTGAAGAAATATGAAAGATGGGTTGTAAAATTCATATAAGACATTTCTGGCAGCCTTGTCCAAAGCAGTTCTGAACTGAAAGGAGAAATCTGCGCCAGAGACTTGTGTTCACCCAGCACCGTCTCTGAGCGGCTAGGCTCTTGGGACTTGCGTTTCTCTGGGTGGCCGTCATGGAAAAGGGACACTTTTCATTCAATATGGCATTTCTATCCCATTACTGGAGATACATTATTTTGTTTCAGTTCCTCTATAAAATTCAGTATTTTAAAGTCTGATTTTAAAGGCCAGAGAGATGGCTCTTGTAGAGAACTCAGGTTCGGTTCCCAGCACCCACATGGCAGCTCACAACCATCTGTAACTCCAGTGGAGGGTGGAGGGGTTCCAACACCGTCCTCTGGCCTCCACAGGCACTGCGTGCGTGCGTGCGTGTGTTATACAGGCAAGTAAAACACTCATAAATTAAAAAATTTAAAGACTGAATTTTAAGAATGCTCAGGTATGTTTTACGTGGATTTGTTTAGAAAGGTCTACATATGTGCATGCACATTAAATATGAATTAACAAGTAGCCACTATTTAACATTAATGCAGCTGCCATGCTTATCTCTGCTTCTGGAACCTGGAGCAAGTGAGGTGACACTCAGAAGACACTGAATTAGTAATGTCCCAGGAGCGACAGCATAGGAGCCCTCCCAGAATTGTGACTCCCGATGTCTCTGGGGAAATGAAAACTCGGTGGGAAGAACTACAGACTGAAGTAGTCCCCCATCGCTGCTCCATCCACGGCAGGCACCTGTTTATCCGCACTGAGCATGTGCCATTCTCTCGAGGAGCCATAACGCCTCAGGCCCTCAGGCCCGGCACCCTGCCGTATACTCCACTCTGTGTGGCTGAAGTGCCTCGCCCTGGCCTGTGATTTTGCAAACTTCATCTGTCAGGAGTGTCCGTGACCTCCCAAGCCCCACCCCTGCCTGGCAGACAGCAGCCTCTGGCTCTCCTTGCACTTGTCTCACTGAGTGTCAGTGAGCCGTGCTCCTGATCTGTGCGCGGGCTCTGGATCCGAGGTCCCCCTAGAACCGAATCAATGGAGCTCTCTCGCGTCACTCACGAGTTTCTTTGCTTTAAGTAATCTTCCGGCCTTATCTTCTTCAGCTCCTTCATCACCATCGCCGTCTGAGGAGGACAGGGCTTGTTCCTCTGAAAGCAAAGGGATTTTTAGGGAGGGGGTTGACCTCTGGAGGGACCCACCTTTGCCTGCCTGTAGCCATCTTGAGTTGTAACGACGGGGATTGCCTGCCTTCGCTGCCACGTTCCAGCACACTATAGGTGCATACAGCCGTTCAAATGGCTGTGGAGCCTTCCGTACAGACCCGGCACCATCAGTGCCAGGCACGTGATGACACCTTCCGTATTCATTCCTAGTTAGGTGCTTCCTGCTCTGAGTGAAAGGCCGCGCTGTCTGGACTGCTATATAAGTTCCCGCCCTCTTACCCTTGCTGCCATCTGTGACCATAACTGCTGCTGTGTCTGTTGTTTTAAAAATGGTAAGCGGCGCTGGTTACCCGGCAAAAAGGTCATGAGACACGACAAAACCCAGTATCAGAGCTTTATTGGGGGGGGGGGGCAAAAGAACTAGGCTTGGGGAAGAAGCACATGCAAAGAGCAGAAAGGGGGAGGGGAGGGAGGGCAGGGGGGAGGGGAGGGGGGTCTATATCCGACTTTTTAAGGATTCCCATGCACATGTGCAGGTAGGCTTAGGAGCTACGCCACGCATGCGCTGACTGCGTGACCATGCTGCGCGCTCACGCGCGCCCGCGGTCATGCAGCTGGGGTGGCGGCAGAAACCTGACAGTGTCCCCAATAAACTGCCTCCTGCAGTCCTCACTGGCTGGCTGGCCTCATTGCTCTCAGCAGGTTCTGCTAGGCTCTTCAAGCTGGATTTTCCCACAACAGCCTTCAAAGAAGACGACTTACTCCTGAGTTTTACTTTTGCTGAATACTGTCACTCATACTATGCAAGAAATAAATAAGATATTGGCTTTTTTTTTTTAAAGTTTCAATAAATGTAACTTTCACATGAGCTGAATGACAGACAGCTTGAGATATTCTCAGGTTGAGCACTATTTGGTACCCCAAAGCCGTATAAGCACATTGTTGTGGGGTTTTCATTTGTTTTTGTTTTGTTTTTGAGGCAGATCTCTGTTGGCTAGCCTGGAACTTGTCAAGTAGCAGCCCAAGCTGGCCTCCAACTCAAACTCTCCTGCCTCAGCCTCCAGAGTACTAATTCAAGCTTCTGCCACCTTGTCCAGTTGTTCATAATATCTTTAAAGATAATGAGGTTTAAATACTTAGGTTTTTTTATGTGCATTGGTATTCTGCCCGCATGTATATCTGTGTGAGGGCATCAGATCTTGGAGTTACAGACAGTTGTGAGCTGCTAGGTGGGTGGTGGGAATTGAACCCAGGTTCCCTAGAAAAGCAGTCAGTGCTCTTAACTGCTAAGCCACCTCTCCAGCCCCCAAATACTGAGTTCTTAATTGTGCTAATATATACATTTCCCTCCACAGGTACACATACCAAGTGTAAAACAGGTGTTGTGGTTTCTGGAGATGTCTTGTTTTCAATTAACCTTTTCTATGGGTGAGTAGCCCTAACCAAAGCAAAACGGGAAGGGGGGGGGGTGTTCCACAATCTTATGTAAATAATGTGAGCAAGAGGAAGATCCCACCAGAGCAAAACTAGGCCCTGCCTACTAAAATGAGATCTGACACTGATACTGACTTACCGTGGACTGCTCCCCGGTAATGGTTTTTAATGGTAACTAGTCCGGAGGCCTTGTCTTCCCCCTCTTCTCCTTCCTTCTCTTCCTTGTCATCACCGTCAGGCTGCTGGATGGTGGAACTTGGAGCTGGCTGCTTCTTCCTCTTCCGTGGAGTAGACACCCTCGAGCGTTCTTTTTTCTGTAAAAAAAAAAAAAAAAAAGCAAACTTTCAACTTAAAGAAATGAAGTACTTCCAGCAGGATGGGTAGCATGAACCTGTAGTGGAGACTGAGGCAGGAAGACATCTTAAACCTGGAGTCCAAGACAAGCCTATGTGTTGGAGCCCATCTAGGTTCCCTGGTAGCTTTGCCCATAAAGAGGATGACTGGACCACAGGCCTGAGTGCAGGTATTTGTTAGGGTCTACACTTGACTGTATCTCCCAAGGGGGAGGTCTTTGCTCCTCCCTTGGGCATTGTCATAAAAAGCCCTTTGGAATAAAGTTCAAGGCTGGTGGGTTCAGACCCAGGACCTCCCAAGGCTGTCCTGTGTTTTCTCTTTCCTCTCGTCATCTAGGTCTCTCTTTCTACCTAATTTTTCTCACTTCTCCTTACTCAAGAGTACCCTGGGTCACTAAGGTGGCAGCTGGTACACCACACCTATGTAATATGGTGGAAGTTTCTCCAGCAGAACAGGGGAGGAGGGAGAGGGAAAATGGAGCTCCTTCGTGCCCGTTCAAACCCGTTTTTAAAGCGGTTTGATGCCCTGTGTCTCCAGTGCGCAGCCCTGCCCTGCGTTGCTGGAGGCCCACACGGCAGATGGTCTGGTGGGGTAAAGGGCACACGAGTGAGAATGCAGGAGAGGCCCCTGGACCGTCCTGGTCAAAGCTAGCACAGGCACGCCCCTGCGAGCTGTGTGCATCCTCTGCTGATGCCACTCACAGCTCAGAAGTGGCCAGCCTGAGAAACCCTCTCTGAAATGACCCTCTGCAGCCGTCAAAGCTGGCTGTGCTCATGCCTGAGCTGCAGATCCTGACCTGCTGAGGCTCCACCAAGCTTCTAAGCTTCCGGGACATTCCTACTGCAGCCTTCAATGCAAATAATATAAATAATATAACATGATTATACACACACACATATATTTTTTGGGGGGGCGCGTTGAGACAGGGTTTTTCCGTGTAGGTTTGGTGCCTGTCCTGGATCTCGCTCTATAGACCAGGCTGGCCTCGAACTCACAATACAAATCCTATTAACCCAGCTTCTGCCAACAGGCTGAGGAAACTGCCAATTTCTTAGAACTGCCCACCCAGCATGCCACACTTTGGAATGAGAAAAGCTGAGCCAGTGTCAATTCGGAAAGGTTCTTAAGGCCTTCCTATTTTCTTTTTTTCTCCCTGTGGTACCCAGAAATCAAAGCCAAGGCATTACACATGCAAGACAAAGCATTCTGCTTCTCAGCTGTACCCAAAGAACTTTTTAATTTTTTTTAACTTCAGAAAAAAACAGCTCTTCATGTACAAAAGGTCCCAACATAAAGCTTACCAGACATACCTGAATCAAATCTGTGCGTGGCCACTCAGGGTCACGACCAGCCATCGGTAAGATTCTAATCTGTGTCTTTGAACTTCTGCTCCCAGATGACAGGGTCATCTTTTTATATGTGGCACTGTCTGTACAGTGAGGTCTGCCAGGAAATGAACAGGAAATATCTGTCTCACTTTGATCGAGAACAACCAAACCGCCCATGGGTATTGACCTCACACGTGGGCAGAGTGAGGAGGCAGGACCACAGTTCCCCTGTGTTCACCACTCAGGGAAAGGGAAGTGGACTGACCCAGAGTGCAAGGGGAGAGGCAGGTGGCCAGATCAAGTGCTTTTTACAAAGAATACGCCCAACTACAATCACAGACAAGGGTCATGAAATCTCAGATTCAGGAGGGTGGAGCATGCCCTAGCAGGAACATTTTGAGAACTAAAAGATGTTCCTGCCACCCAAGAAAAGTAGGAGAATGATTTTAAAAAGCAGGTGGCATGCTGGGCGGTGGTGGCGCATGCCTTTAATCCCAGCACTCAGGAGGCAGAGGCAAGCGAATTTCTGTGAGTTCAAGGCCAGCCTGGTCTCCAAAGCGAGTTCCAGGAAAGGCGCAAAGCTACACAGAGAAACCCTGTTTCGAAAAACCAAAAATAATAATAATAGTAATAATAAAAAAATAAAAAGTAGGTGGCCAAGTGTGCGATCCTGTCTCAAACAGAAAGTGAGCCACAATGGCATGAGGGTCCTCAAAAGCTCAGGACGAGACAAGAGTCTCAGCATGGAAGCCACCTATAATCACATCACTCAGGCAAAGGCCAGGAGGACTGCAAGCTTGAGGTGAAGATGAATAGTGAGTGAGTTCAAAGCCAGCCTGGGTTACACAGCTGTACTGTCCCAAACAGTAAGTGCCTTCCTGAGTATAGCAAGACAGCTTGTAACTGGGTCCCAAAGACGGAAAGAAAGGACCTAAGGAAAGAAATTGTGCCAAGCAGTCATATGCTACCCCAGGGCAGTGCTCGGAGCAAGGTTAGGAAGCAAAAACTAAGAACTGCACACGTTTCAGGACGCTTCTAGAAACGTTCATCAGTGGGAAGGTGAGCACTAACTGTGCAAGGTTTGTGTGCTATTTAACACAACACCCTGTGACATACATCTTATAGCCAAGGAAACTGCAAATTGGTGAGACCCTCAAGCCTATATATATATACCCTTGCAGTTGTTGCAGTCATTAAAAAAAAAAACCAACACGGTTACCAATAATATACACCCCCGTAGTCCCTTATTTTAAGTTTATAATTGTTTTAATTTACAAAGTTGAGCAACCATGACCTATGGTGATATTTTTATTTGTGCTGAAATGTGGTGATATTTTATTGGTATGTTAATAAATAAAGTTTGCCTGGAGATCAGAGGACATAGATAACCAGCCATAAACAAAAATCAGGCTGTGGTAGCACATGCCCTTAATCTGATCACATGGTAGGCAGAGTCTCTGTGTGTTCAAGGACAGAGCCAAGTGTGGTGACACTTGCCTTTAATCCCAGTACCAACCATAGAGACCTGGAGGTCTGTATAGATAGGCAGTGATGAGGAAGTGAGGTAGCTGGGCTAAAAGCCTATGAGAAGGCAGACCATCAAGGCAATAAAGGTGCAGGTTAGACAGGAAGATGTTCGATGTTCTCTTGGGAAGCTACAGCGGGGTGGTGAGCTAAGGTTAGCTGGTGGCTATTCCTATTTCTCTGATCTCTACAGCTTTCACCCCTGTATTTGGCTCTGTGTTTCTTATTTAATAAGGCTGTTTAGAAATTCATCTACAATGACCACAGTCTGATTTTAAAATACTTCAGCATCTAAAAAGGAACCATGTGTCACTGCCATGGTAAAGGCTGTACCTCTCAAGGAAAGCTGGATCCTAGTCACAGGTATGTCCTTAGGAGGACGGGCCATAGCACTAAAGCTGGCCCCGGGTCTCGAGCAGGCACAGGCTACAACTGCTTTGGTCACACCTGCCGTGAGCACACACCAGCACCACATTCTGACGACAGTTTAGCTTTCTTGGGTTAGTTTCACTAGCTGGTTAAGGACAGATCAAGCAGCAAGCTACCATGGCGAGTTTTTTTGCAAGTGCCCTGGCCATTGAGAAGCCATGGACCCATCTCTTGTAAGTGTTTATAGCATGAGCTGGTTCCCCGAGAAACTGATAGTTAACTTTAAAAACTCATCTTGGAAGCAGACACGGTGGCCCGTGAGCTGCACTCTGGAGTGACGTCAGTCAGAAGGGTCAGGCTCTCTGTGTCACGGCTCAGCTTTGCTCTTCCATGGCAGGTAGCAAGGCGCGTATAGAGAAAGTTACCTAAAGCTAAGTCTGGACTTGAAGACGGCTTGTCCCCGGAGACCAGTGTCCTCCCGTATGAACAGCTGGTTGAGGTTGTCTTGCAGTGGAGCTTTGTAGATATCAAACACTTCACTGCCTAAATGCAGGGACATGCTGGAGAGGGGAGATAATTGGGGTATTAGGATGCTTAGTGATTAGCACAGGATCCTGACCTCATATAGAATTAAAAAAAAAAAAAAGATGCTCTCAATAGCTTCCTTCCACACTGGGTGTGGACGTGTCTGCCTGTAACCCTGCAGGGGAGGTGGAGCATGAGGATCTGGGCCAGGATGGGCTGTGAAACCCTGGCTTTGGTTTGTTTGTTTGAGGCAAGGTCTCACTGTGTAGCCTTGGTTGGCCTGGAACTGGCTATGTAAGCCAGGCTGGCTACAAATTTACAGAGATCCGCCTGCCTCTGCCTCCCCAGTGCTGGATCAAAGGTGTGCGCCACCACACCAGGTGAGACCCTGTCTTTTTGTTGTTTAGTTTTTCAGGGTTTCACTGTGTAGCCCTGGAGGTCTTGGAATTCACTTTATAGACCAGGCTGGCCTCGAACTCACAGAGATCCACCTGCCTCTGCCTCCCAAGTGCTGGAATTAAAGACATACGCCACCACCACCCAGCTGAGACCCTGTCTTAAAACTGAAATCAGGACTCTTTGTGGTGGTTTGAATGAGCATGTCTCCCTCCCTCAATGTTCTGACGTTTGAATACTTAGTTTCCTGTTGTGGCTGCCTGGGTAGGTGTGGCCTTGCTAGAGGAAGTATGTCACTGGGGGTGGGTTCTGAGGTTTCAAAGCCCCAGACCCAGTTAGCCAGCTGTCTGCTTCCTGCCTGGCTTGAGAGATGTGAGCTCTTAGCTGTTCGTACGACCATGCCTGCTTCCTGTTGCCAGTTTCCATGATGGACTCTTATGCCTTTGGGACTGTAAGTCCAAATGAACTCCTTCTTCTGTAAGTTGCCTTGGTCATGGTGTTTTATCAGAACAATAGAAAAGTAACTAATAATACGCACTTTAGAGCAAAAAGTGGTAAAACAGACTTTTCAGCTTGAAATAGAATTGTCTTACAATGTCTCTCAATCTGTATCTTTTAATTAGCAAACTGAATTGAGTTCTCAAATAGTTTCAATTTAGGGGCTATAAGCTCAGTTGGTAGACCACTTGCCAGGTGCCCATGAAGCACTGGGTTTGATCCCCAGCACTGCCAAAGAAGGTTATTTCAAATCACCCTGATGTTTCAAAGGGTAGGCTTTCAGCCAACAAGACAGATAAAAGGGATCTGATCGCACCGAGCCACATCCAAGCTCTCCCACTGGCCCAGCTGGAAGGCCTTAACTCTGCTTAGCTCTCTCAGGTTTCCGGGGTAATGACAGCAGCCCAGGTTTTCTCAGTAAAGTCCTCCACAGGAAATTCTGACTGATCCAGCCCCCCACACCCCAGGCGTTCCAACACTCACCTTCCATCAGACCACTTGACTATTCGAGCATTGCTCTCTTTAACTCTATATCCTTCTTCATCCCGGCCTACCCTCCAGCGGATAGTATTTTCCACCTGGTTCGAAAGAAAAGGTATCAGACAATCAATTTAACTAGCCATTTGTTTCTTGGTTCCTCAAATGATTCATAACCGTATGCCAAGAATGGGTGGGTGGAAAGAAAACGGCTGACTCAGCAGCCCCGCCACCGATTTGCAGCAGGTGTCTGGGCTTGTTGGTTAGGCTAACGAGGCCCAGGTCAGAGCGGTGGCAAGAGAGGTTAAACGGGATGCAGCCTGTAGCCACAGCTAAGACCTAGCTCCTCAGGAAAGAAGAGGTTAGTCCATACACGGTAAGTGGCTGAAACTGACACCTCAGCTGAGGGTGTAACATAGTGGCAGAGCACTTGCCTGGCACCTATGAGGCCCCCCCAGTTCTATTCCCAGCACTGTTACACACACACACACACACACACACACACACACACACACACACACACACTGTTGAAGGACTATGAGTGCAATGAAAACAAAATAAAACAAAACAAAACCTTTTAAAATGTTTCTTAGGGAATATGGTCTACAGAATCAACTAAGCAGGCTTCCCAGGGACTCAGACTGAAGTGACAGATACAGTCCCTATACGGGTCTGAGCTAGGTGTTCTGTATATGTTATGGTTCTGTAGCTTCGTGTTCCTGTGGGACTCCCAACAGTGGGAGTTGGTGTCTCTGACTCTTCTGCCTGCTCTTGGGACCCTTTTCCTCCTACTGGGATGCCTCATCCAGCCTTGATATGAAGCCTGGTCTTATTTTAACTTATTATGCCATGTTTGGTTGATATCCCTGGGAGGCCTGCTCTCTCTCTTGTTTTGGAAGGAAAATGGAGGAGGAGTGGATCTGGGGGAAAGGGGAAGGGGCCTGAGAGGATTGAAGGGAAGATAAAATAAAAGAAATCCCTCCTTTTCCAAAAAAAAACAGGTGTCTCTTAGGGCCAGTGACATGGCTCACGACTGACTACCTGAGTTGAATCCCCAGGACCCACAGAGTGTGAGGAGAAGACTTCTGCACATTGTTTTTTGACCCATGTGCACATGCATGTGCATGCTCTTGCACACACAAATAAATATAAATTTCTTAAAGAACAAGTGTCTAATGAGCCAAGTGGTGGTGATGCATGCCTTTAATGCCAGCACTTGGGAGGTAGAGCCAGGCGGATCTCTGTGAGTTCAAGGCCAGCCTGGGCTACAGAGCAAGATCCAGGACAGGCACCAAAACTACACCGAGAAACCCTGTTTCAAAAAACCAAAACAAAACAAAAAAAAGAGGTGTCTAATGAGATAAGATCTAGACATGTCATTTTAAGTTGTTTTAAATACTAAATAACTAGGAGCTAGAGACATGGCTTAGCAGTTAAGAGTATTTGCTGTTTTTTCAGAGGACCCATGTTCAGTTCCCAGCACCATGCTGGGCAGCTCACAACCACCTATAACTCCAGCTCTAGGGAAACTGACACCCTCTTCTGAAGGTATCCACACACACGGTGTACCTACACAGATAAACACACACACACATGCACACACACACACACACACACACACACACACACAAACAAACAATTAGCAGAAAATTAAAATCTGAGACCTATACTTAGTTCTGTTTGAGTCCAAATTAACTCATGAAATAGAAAACCCCAAGTCACAAAAGACTACTAAAAATGGACCATCCCACCCTTTGGAAAGGCACTATCCCTACATGAACAATGGTAGTACTTGTCATCCCAGGTATTCTCGAGAGAAGTCCCCTGATGGCAAGGTCTGCTTCTGTGCACAAAGTAAGTCTCCATGACCAGACACTTCTGTGGTGGGAGGCTGCTGGGAGGAAGTGTGGAGACAGGCCTGTACACCTTACAGCATTGTTGATCTGAGGGAAGCTAGTGATTTTCAACAGTTTCTCCCTTTAGTTCAGTTAAAACTTGAAATTGAGACTGGGCTAGTGGCACACGCCTTTAATCCCAGCACTCTGGAGGCAGAGACAGGCAGATCTCTGAGTTCGAGGCCAGACTGGTCTACACAGAGTGAGTTCCAGGACAACCAGGGCTGCACAAGAAACCCTGTCTCAAAGAAACGAAAAATAAAAACTGAAAACATTTGAAAGGTGTCAATTCTAGAGGAGAGAGAAAAGGTATGTGCTTACTCCCCTAAATATCCAGAAAGGCCATTTACTTCCATGTTCTAGAGTTATTTGTTGAGTAAGCAGGAAACGTTAAGAACATTCTCAAGCTCGGGTCTCCTGTTATCATCCCTGTGTTTACTGTCTAAGGAAAAAACTCCAGGGGCTGGAGAGGCGACTCGTGGTTAAGAACACCTGTTGCTCTTTCAGGGGATCCAGGTTCCCAGCATTCACAGAGTGGCTCACAACCATCCATACCTTCCAGTTCCAGAGGATTCGGTGCCCTCTTCCAACCTCTGCAGGTACCAGGCACACACATGGTGTACCTACACATACATGCAGCCAAAACACTCACACACATGAATTAAGTAAATCTAAAAGAAAAAAAAATGTGAGGAAGAACTTAACCTGTGGCCACAGCTACTCAGAAGGCTGAGGCGAGGGGCACTAGAAGAAAAAAGGGTTAGGAAACAGGACAATACCTTCAATTTCAGCCTGGTTTTGTCTGCCTCATAAAGCACTTTCTCATCCTCAAGTTCATCTTCATACAGCTGAGGATCGAAAGGTCTAAAAATTGATGCCATATTAGTCATAATTAGTGACTGATTGACACTACAAACCAACCATCTCTACCACATGCATCACAGCCAACAAGGAACTTCATGAGAACCTTCAGCAAGTATGCCAATGGCTACTTTCTTGAAACTTCTTTTTAAAACAAACTTCCTGAACAAAATCCAAACAGGGCTCAAAATTTAAAACCCTCTTTGAGGAAACACATCTTAGAAAGCACAGATAATAATACCTGACCCACCCATATTCAAAAAAACCAAGACCTCAGTGCTGTGTGAAGGGCTGTAAACCCAATGAACGGCTTCAAATGTGTCCCTTGAGCCAGGCATCGTGGTATACTCCTTTAATCCCAGCACTCGGGAAGCAGAGGCAGGGGGATCTCAAGGCCAGCTTAGTCTGTGTATGGAGTTCCAGGACAGCCAGGAAAAAAAGTCCCTTAGCTTAATTAGCCAATATCTTGGCATGGCATTTATATATATATATTTGGTTTTTCGAGACAGGGTTTCTCTGTGTAGCTTTGTGCCTTTCCTGGAACTCACTTGGCAGTCCAGGCTGGCCTCAAACTCACAGAGGTCTGCCTGGCTCTGCTTCCCGAGTGCTGGGATTAAAGGCGTGCGCCACCACCGCCCGGCTGGCATTTTTATATTTTTAAAGAATAAATAAATAAAAATTAACAAATTGAAACCTCTGTTTATCTTAGGGACTAAAATTTCCCCCATGGAGTTAAGAACAGCCAATACTATTTTTTGGCAAAGTCGCTGTCTGGTCCAGATTCAGTGTCGTTTACCGTGACCTCTCTCTCTCTCATATTCCGTATTTTCAGCTTTACATCAGTGACACGTCACATGCCATCTGTTCATATGCAGCGGAGTATCAATGGCTAGGAAGACAGCCAGCATCCTAATTCTCTACAGTAACTTAGCCTTCTCTTGTTTTCAGTCACATGAGAAGAAACCATTCATCTTATGATTGGCCAACTCTTAACAGTTAATTAACGTTTTAAAGTTTGTTTTTTTCAATCCCTTGAACGTTTTTTTCAGTTCTCTTACTTGGGTTCTATCCTGAGGAATCTAGGTAGTTTAACAAAATACAATTCATTCCCTAAGTCAGAGTTGATGCTGGGAATTTCTATTTTTATTCTGGTTTCAGAAACACGCCGTTCCACATGCTGGTTCTGAGGCACTCTGCGGCCGCCCTAAGGGTGGGATCAGAATGGGAGAACATGAAGAGACAGGAGAAACATTCCGGCTGTGCTCTGCGTCGGGCAGACACAGGTTTGAAAGGAAGTTAAGTCAGACACCACTTCAGGGGTAGTCAGCCATTCCTTCATCCAAGTCTCTCCCCCAAACCTCACCCCAACCCCACCCACAAAGGAAAAAAATGCCATGGGGAATAAGATACATTATCCTGCATTACTAGAAAGATGAATTTCGTTGGCATAGTAATTTTCTATTTTGCATGGCATTCAAGGAGTATAAGGAATTCAATCCTTCACTGCTAAGGAACTACTAAAATCAGAAAAGATGATCAACATTGCCCATACAGCACAGCACAGGTGTGGATAAGAAAGACCTTTTAAATCAAAGGCTCTCGTGTCAAGAGTCTCTCATTCTAATGATTCCTCCTGTGCCTTCTAATTATTTCCCCAGAGGCCCAGTTCAGCTAAGAATGTCACCACACGGTTAGTCCTCTGTGATCGCCCCCCTCAACATGAGAGACAAAGCTCGAATAAGCCTCTTCTGAACTTTCCCTCCCAGCTTTCAACCCCGTCATCCGTGGTGTCTGGTGACTGTACTCACATCAGGCTGTCTTGGGACAGGTGTTCGCTGGTCCACATCGCTGTCTGAAGAAATGTCATCTATATCTCCAAACAGATCCATGTTCCCACTATACTCTTCAGTGTTGAGGGAATAGATATTATTATTGGGTCTGACTCAAATTATTTTTAAATTTGTTTTTAATTAGGTGCATGGGGGGAATGGATATATATGTATGAGTGCAGGTGCCCATGGAGGCCGAGAGTCAGAGCCCCTGGAGCTAGAGTTACAGAAGGTTGTGAGCTGCCCAACATGGGTGCTGGGAACTGAACCTGAGTCCTCTGCCAGAGCAGTGCTCCCCACAGCCCCCTAACTAAAGTCCTCTATGTAGTTCCTCAACACATTCCCAGTCTTCACAAACCGAATCTCCAGCTGGCTCTCCAAGCCTGGCCTTGAGCAGCGTCACAAGAATGTCTTCAGAGAAGGAAGGCACGGAAGTCACCAGGGGAGCCACTTTGAGGACGGTTCCCAGAGAGCTGGGCATGGTGGTGATCACCTGTAATCCCAGCATTTAGGCCTAGCCTGGACTACATGAGACCCTGTCTCAAAAACAAAAAAAGATGGTTCCAGTAATTCCACTGATTACGACTCTTGCGCGTGGCCTCTCCATCACGTCACAGCTGAGCTGTGGGGTCAGTGAGCTACCGCCTCACTTCCGAAGTTGGACTATGGATAATGCCGCGTTTTTTTCTGCCTCACGGTGTCATTCACTGTGAGGGAAGCAGCTACTTCAATGTGAAGATACCCACTGCCTATGGGGACGCCTACCCCTGTGGTGAGAAACAGGAGGTGCATGAGCTAGCTCTGAAACTGATCCTTCAGCTGCAGACGGGCCATCAGAGAGTGCAGTCCTGTGAGAGTACCTGAACCAGAACCTTGGAGCTAAGGCGTTTCTAGGTCCCGCCCCCCCCCCCCCCAAGCAAGAATCCGAGTGAGAAACTGCTTTGTTGTTCTAAGCTGTTGTGCACTGGGAAAATTTATCACACAGCCAAGATACCCAACAGTCACCCAAGAAGCACTTCCTCCCCTCGTCTATATTTTTCTCCCATTCTCTTTATTCTCCAGGACCCTAAAGAGCCTCCTACAGTCTCAGGCTACTGAAAGTGGAAGCTTGGGTCCGCCACACCCACAGGATGCACTAAAATGACCAGCTTTAAGCCGGGCGTTGGTGGCGCACGCCTTTAATCCCAGCACTCGGGAGGCAGAGCCAGGTGGATCTCTGTGAGTTCGAGGCCAGCCTGGGCTACCAAGTGAGC